AAAAAAAAAATAAATAAATAAAATTTCATGAGTACAATAAAAAAAAAAAAAAAAAAGAATGAATGTAAAGACTGAATCGATCAGTCATGAGGAAGTGCTCCCCAAATCATGGGATTCTCATTTCCTGTTGGTGCCATCAGACACAGTCTTGGGGTTCCCTCCCCCAGAGTCTCCTGGTCACTAGGTTCTAGCCTGGCCAGAGAAAAAATACCACCTCACGGTGCCCTTCCATTGCCACAGTCTCAGTTCTTGTAGATTCCTTACAAGGGAGACCAGGGAGGGAGCCCTTCATTTTATAAGTGAGGAGATGGAGGCTCAGAGAGGTGAAGAGAGTGACACCGCTCTGCACAGGTATCTCTCCCACAACTGATGGGGTGGCCTCAGAAATGGGGTCAACAGAGGACTAGGAACGGAGGCCCAGACTTGAGAAGTCACTGGTAGTGGGTGAGCTGCTCACCCTGTCCTGGAAGAGGGGCTCCGCTGTTGGGGGCCCTGCAGGACCTGCAGGCCAGAAGGAATGTGGCCAAAGAGATTCCTAGGAGTCCTGGGTCAGCATGAAGGGGAACATAAGAGAGGGGTGGCTACCCTGGGAGCTACTGCCCTGACTTTGGTCTCAGCAAGGAGCAGGTGGGAGTGGGCTCAAGGCTTGACTCTCACAGAGGCCAGCACCCCAGGTGAAGGGGAGCCTGGGGACCCGCACCCCTGCAGGGGCAGTGAAGGCAGGGGCTGGCAGGACGTGCTAGAGCGTGCCAGCCAGTGAGCAGGCCACGGCACTCAAGCCTCTCTCTCTCTCTCTATCACACACACACACACACACACACACACACACACGGGCACGTGCGCACGCACAAACATACACACACGGAGGCTGGAACAAGAGGAAGGATCTGATTGCTTTTCCAGAATGAAATAGCAAACTGCCAGTCATCCCTAAAGAAAGAACTGACCCAGGCAATAGAAAAGGGGGAGGGAAGTAAACCCTGGTGGCTGAATGAGAGTGCCAGGTGCCCTCCTGCCCCTTCACTGCCCTGCAAGCTGGCCAGGGAGCTGGCTGGGGTCAGGCACAGTGGGGGCTACCAAGAAGGGGCAGGCAGAGGAGGGGCTGAAGCAGAACTCTGGCCTTCGGGTCCGTTCCTGGGCAGATGAGCAGCCCTCTCAGCCAGGAATGGAGCGGGGCTGACTCTGTCACCGGCTGCTGTGTGCCCTGAGCAAATGACTGCATCTCTCTGAGCATCTGTTTCTTCCTCAACAGGCAAGCCTGACCTGTCTCCCAGGATTAATGAAAAAGGGCAGGTGAAAGTTTGACAAGGAAAAGGCAGTGTTCATGTGAGACAGGTATGCCAGCTTGGAAAGCACCGTGGTTGGGTCTCAGTTTCCCCAACCAGCCATCAGTCAGGAGATACTGAACACCTACTATGTGCTGGGGCAGGACTGTGGGCTTAGGAGTCACACTGGGCTTGAATCTAAGCTCCACCCCTTCCCAGCAGTGTGATCTGATACATTTAAACTCAAGGAGCTTCGGTTTTTCACTTTTAAAATGGGGTTAGTACTAGGACCTGGGGCTTCCCAGGTGGTGCTAGAGGTAAAGAACTTGCCTGCCAATGCGGGAGACATAAGAGATGTAGATTTGATCTCTGGGTTGGAGAGATCCTCAGGGGGAGGGCATGGCAACCTACTCCAGTAATTCTTGCCTGGAAAATCCCAGGGACAGAGGAACCTGGCAGGCTACAGTCCATGGGGTCGCAAAGAGTCAGACACGACTGAAGCGACTTAGCACGCATGCATGCACACACTAAGGCCCAGGTTGCTGGGCTGCTGGGAGGATTAGATGAGATGATCTATGTAAAACCCCTGGCACAGGTTCTTATTAAAACCTCACATTTGTTTTGGCTGTACTGGTTGTCAGCAGCTAGAGACACAGTGCTGACAAGATAAAAATAGTCCCTGCCTGCATGGAGCTCACAGGATGCAGGATGGACATTTAACAACTATTTACCCAAGGTACTTCGTCATGAGGAAAACAGATTAGACCTGGATACTGGCTTAAGCCCTCTGTCCTCACTCTGGAGGGCTTATTTAGTCTATATGTCACACCTTCACTATGTTCCCCCGCGCTGCTGGCCAACCTGTGCCTGGGGACAAGGAGGCTTACCTGCCTGCCTTCTCTTGGGTTGCACGCCTGCAGCACGACCAGGGACCCTGGGGAGACGGAGGTGGAGGTGGCAGCGAGGCACTTGCCCTGCTGCTGGATGAGATGGTCAGTGAAGAGCCAGGCCTGCAAGATAAGAAGCAGAAAGGCCAAACCAAAAAGGACAGCAATGAATGGATAGATGGGTATATGGATGATAAAGCAAATACACTGTGTATTTTGGTAGAATTTTCTACAAATACTAGGGATGGGTGGATGGCTAATCACTGTACAATTTTTTTCACTTTTCTATGTGTTTGAACTTTTTCATAATAAAATATTGGGATGGAGAAGCTTAGCTGGAGCCAGCCAGAGATGTATGAGCCAGCTTAGGGGATGGGAAGAAAGACAGGACAAGGGAGCAGGGCAGCTGGGGGCAGGTCTATGCCGGGGTCTCCACGACCTGCTCTAGTTTGACGTGGGTGCATCAACTCATACTTTGGACACGTGTTCGCAGGAATCCTGGACACCCTGAGGCCTGTCCATGCAGGCTGCCCAGGCTGCATCCAAGGAGAGTACTGGGTTCTGTTTGGGTGGCATTTCTGCCCCTGCAAGCAGAAACCAGGTGGTGCTCACAGGGCAACCGTGTGACAGGCTACGAAGCGGTGGAGCATGGCGGGAGCAGACCCAAGGAGAAGAGTGTGAGGAGGCAGCTTGCAGGGTCCTTGGGAAAATGGGCTGTGGAGGGTGTAGACAAGAGAGAGGAGACTGGGCAGAAGGAGGCCCCTAACCCCTCTCCTAGGCCTGATTCAGAGGTCCCAAGCAACATACCTGGGCCGCTGGGGGGTTCTTGGCAGACCCTCTGCAGATCCCCATTCCGAGCAGGAAGTTACCAGCTGTGTCCTGGCCCTGGGATTCTAAACAATTAGTCCCCTGCTTAATGATGCCCGGGAGCACTTCCTTCACGGGGATGCTGAAAGAAAAGGCAGTGGTCAGGCTTGGCCTCTGCCCTTCCTGGGGTGACCCACGCTTACCCAGAAAGCAGGCCCAGGCAATTCCCAGGGCACCCAGGTCTCCATGGGGAGGGACACTGAGGGGCAGGCCTGGCAACAGGGGAAGGTGAGGGAGCAGGGGTCCCCCTGGGAAGACTGGGCCTCCGTACCCCCTGGGTTCTGGGCAGCTCTGGGAGCCCCAGGGACTGCCCTTCAGGCCAGGCCTGAGAGGAGGTGGTAGGAGAGAACTCAAACCAGAAGCTGGAGCTCCCCAGTCCTGAAAGAGGAAAGGCTAAGACTCAGATGTGGGCTCAGCGTGCACTATCAAGATGACAGGAAGGAGTTGCTTTGAAGAGGCAAATGTAAAATATACAAATATGAAGATGTGTTCAGTCTCACTAATAACTAAGGAAATATGTATTAAAGAGTTACCACTGTCTGTTTGCCATATGTGTATATTTATTTATTAATTTTTAAAATATTTATTTATTTATTTGGCCATGCTGAATCCTGGTAGCAGCCCACAGGATCTTTGATCTTCAGTTGTGGCATGCAGCCTCTAATTTGCAGCTTGTAGAATCCAGTTCCCTGATTTGGGATTGAACCCAGGCCCCCTGCATTGGGAGCATGGAGTCTTAGCCATTGGACCACCAGGGAAATTTCTATGTATTTATATACATAAAATATTTAATGTATATATATAAGTAAAAGTGTTAGTCACTCAGTTGTATCCAACTCTTGCAACCCCATGGACTGTAGCCCACTAGGCTCCTCTGTCCATGGGATTTCCCAGGCAAGAAAACTGGAGTGAATTGCCATTTCCTTCTCCAGGGGATATTCCTGACCCAGGGATTGAACCTGGGTCTCCCACATTGCAAGCAGATTCTTTACCATCTGAGTCACCAGGGAAGATCTTATAATATATAAATAATATACAAATTATATATTTAAGTGTATGTGTTAAATATTACTACCTAGTGTTGGCAACGGCTGTGAGATTGGATCGTTTCATACCCCACAGATGGGAGCATAAACTGGTCCACTTTTTCTAGAGGACAATGTTATACTATGTATCAAAGGCCTTAAAAATGTATATACTTTTGACCTAATGATCCTGCTTCCTGAAACTTACTATTCTAGGGCAACAATTATAGATGAGTGCAGAGATTTAGTTTAAATGATACTCATTCAGAGTGACTAGTTATAACCAAAAACACTGGAAATTCCTAGATATCCAACAATAGGTGAAGGACTAAGTAAATTCTGATTCATCTGTCGAAAACCCTTCATCATTAAAAATGACTCTGAGAAAGGATATCATATGGGAAAGTGTTTATAAGATACTGTTAAGTAAAACAGGTAGGTTTCAAAAGATCCTTATGGAGGAAACCTGGGGCTCAGGCAGCAATCTCAAGACCACATTCAGGGATTTCCCTGGTGATCTAGTGGCTAAGACTCTGCACTCTCAATGCAGGGGACCTGGGTTCGATCCCTGGTCAGGGAACGAGATCCCACATGTCACAACTAAGGGTTTGCACGTTGCAACTAAAGATCCTGCATACCACAACAAAGACCTGGTGCAGCCAACTAAATTTAAAAAATAAGATAAAAGACCAGATGCAGCTCCTGAGGTGTCTAAGTGGTAGCAGCCCTGGAGCAGCTGGGATGGCCATCATCACCCTTCCCCTGCTCCCTGGCAGAGCCAAGCTAAGCTCTCCTGTTTGCTGGCAGCTCTCTTAAGTCTGCATCTGCTTCCTTCTCTGTGGACCACCTCAAAACTGGGCTGCCAGGGCTCCCATTAGCCCTTATGTTGCCTTTCTAGAAATAGCAATAGGCATCCTTTTTTCAAGACATTTTACTTATGTTAGAAAATCATCATAAGATACTGATTTTGTTAGAAGACTCTTACTGTCATTTGCCAGGAATTGTTGTAATAAAGGCACAATGCTGTGTGACTAGCACCCTTCAAATGTGGTATCCTTGTGCAGTGCTCAGCCTGCACAACTGTTCCTGACCATCCTAATAAAAGTAATATATTAGCAGTTAGTGAAGCCAGCTGCAGAACTCTGATCTGGAAAAGCGGCCGAGCCATAGCAGGACTGCAGGCAGGCCTAGGAAAGCACAGGCCTCTCCCTTCAGCCTCCTCAGGCTTCCCACTGACCACATTCAAGTGTGGCCCAACTCCTGGGATCTCGTGTGGAGGAAACTTGGTATCATTTGTGCCTGTGGACCTCCTTTCTATCTAACAATCGGATCCACTCCAGGCCCCTGAGAACCGAGGCAGAACATGAAGGAACAGGCTGACGATGAGTAACCTGGATAAGAATGAACTGCAGTTTCTACCTTAAGAGCAGAAATTCATTTTTTTTAAGCCTCCACATGGTGACAAAACAAACGGAAGATGACTTATGCTCCTCATTTAGCACAGCTAATTTCATCCACTCTCCTGTCTTCTGGCGGATCCAGACTGATGCTAGTTATAAACTATCAATACTTCTTCCTCCTGGTCCTCAGGGGATGACATGGGGCACTGTGTGGGGACTGGGGTGTGGGAGGAGGCATATATCCTCAACCCCCTTCCACGGCTCCCCAGCTCCTGCCAGAGGCCTGGAGTCCTTGGCTCCAACCATATAACATGAACTCTGACAGAACACAAAGAAATGACTATGCTTGTTTCACTCAGAAATGGCACATCTGAATAAAACCATCCTTTTAAAAGTGGCCATTTGAGGAAGCTGTTCATTTATTATACTTTCATAAATTAATGTTCTTCCCTTCACAGCCATTGTCTAGGGAGTTGGGGTTATCCAGGCCGCCAACTTTCTCCAAGGATGCTGCTGCCGCTCAAATTGTTTTGGAATTTTTTGGAATTCCTTGAACATTGCTCACAGAGTCAGTTTATTCTTGTTACTTGTTTCCATCTTGTTAACCTGTTGTTTGGGACCCAGGACTGTAATATCTGGGTTAATCAACTAAGTTATTCACTGGACTTGGTTATAACCTAACCGTGGCTGTTTTCCCCAAATCAAATCTTCCCTCAAAGATTTGCCTCCTTTGAGGATACACAGGCTCTGAGCGGTGGAATGTTCCAGAAAATCATGACAGCATCCTTTGGGAGACAGCTGTTCCTGAGATGACAGTTCTAGAAGGGAGAATGTTAATTTCAAAATTATTTCTGAACCTTATTGACTATGCAATTTATTTAGTTAAAAATATTTAGAGATTTCCCTGCTGGTCCAATGGTTAGGAATCTGCCTTCCAACGCAGGGGACGCAGGTTCCATCCCTAGGTGAGGAACCAGGATCCCACATGCCATAGGGCAACTAAGCCCTCGAACCACAACTAGCGAGAAACCTGGGTGCCAAAAGGAAGGACCTGTGCACCAAAACAAGATCTGGCACACCAAAATCAAATCAAATCAAACTATTTATTGAGTGCCCATTCTGTGACAGGCACTGTTCTAGGGGCTGGAGATAAGGCAGTGAACAAGACAGATAAATGCCTCTTGCCTCATGGAGCTTACTGTCAAATGTGGGAAGATGACAATAACATTAATTGGCCACATAGAAGCTCCATGACGATAAGGGTGACCGAGGAAAAGAAGCAGAGAGTGCTGGGGAAGGGTCAGTCTGCAAATGCAGAGGTCAGGGGGGGTCTCCTGCAGGAGGGACAGATGACTCAAGACCTGGAGGAGGTGAGGAATGATATAGGCAAGATGCTGAGAAGGATTTTGAAATAAAAAGAATCAGCTCTGCCCACCCTCAGGCCCCCCAGTCATTAAACAGCGTACTGTTCTACAGCCCACATACATACACCATTTGCATGTTGCCTCCTCATTTGCTGAAGCAAACATTTCCCCATGTTTTATTCACAGTGTATGATTATAATTTTAATTGACACATAGTATTTGTTTAGATCAATGCATCATGATTCACCAAACCCAGACCCTATTGCTAGTTGTGTCTCTATTTTTTTCACAGCAAAGAAGCCTACAGTGGCCATTTATTTGTCAACAGTTTTTTCGCTTGTTTGCTTTATTTCCTTGGGCTAAACTCCCAGAAAGGAGAGAAGAGAGTCAGAGGAAGTGAGTGTTTCTGCAGCCTTTGATACATAATGTGCTGTTGCTTTCCTAATGGGACAATGCTCATTTCTTTTTTTCAAGAGTATTTTAATTAATTAATTTTGGCTGTGGGTGGGATCCTAGTTCCCGTGCCCTCTGTGCTGGAAGTGTAGAGTCTTAACCACTGGACTGTCAGGGAAGTCCCGACAACATCCATTTTTAGCTCTAAGGCCCAGTCTGTTAAACTCTTCGCTCCTACCACACCTTACTCTTCACTCCTGGTAACATCCTCCTGGTTCCTCCAGACCCATCACATAAAGACAAACACTAACAGTTAGAAAAAGCCAGACTGCCTGGGCTGGGGAGAGATCAGGATCAAGGGTCCCCACGCCGCTGGCCCCCACCCAGGCCAGATGAGGGACCATGGCCACACTCACGTGAGCTCTGGGTAGACGTTATCTAGGTACCAGCGGAAGGACTTGCAGTTCATCTTCTTCCTCTGCTCGATGCGCGTGGCCACGCTGGAGAAGGAGGAGGAAAGCCTCGGCAGTGGGAAGAAGTCTGGGAGGTCAGCCCCCTCTTTCCACCTCCCCGGGTAGGGGGGCACGGGCAGGTCTCTTTTTCCGGAGCTAGCTATCTAAGTCTGCCCTCAAGCGTTACTTCATTCTCTGAGCTGCAAGCTCACCCCAGGGCTCCTGGCCATGCCTTATTTCTCTCCTCAAATTGGGGCCAAGGTTTAATCTTGGCTTCTTCCTCCTTGAGAGCTCAGTGGGCATACCATTGCCTGGTGCTTATTTTCACAGACAGAGCAGAGCCTTAATGTACTAGTAGTTTTCCTTTCCTGCATTCAAGCTGAGCAGAAAGCGTCTACCGACAAGAAAACCATGTTTCAAACATTTTTCCAAAAATTTGGCAAATAAGAACCATCTGATGTGTCCATGAACATCTTGATCAGCTCCAGGGATCATAATGGCCACTGACAGAAGACCAGCACCACCTCTGAGCCCGTTTGTTCTCAGTAAAGTTGGGGTACAATCATCCACCTCCAAAGGTTTTTATAAGAGTCAAATGAATAGACATAAGTGCCTAGCACAGTGGAGGCCCTCAGCAAATGTTACTTCCTCACTAAAACAAAGAGTGACATAACTTTTTTTCTTTAAGGGATAGATACAAATAGAGGAAAATTCATTGATGATCTCTAATAATGTTTTCAAACATTTCTGACCACAACATTAAGTAAGAAATATATACATCTTACATTATGACCCAGTATACCCATGGGCATATATGGACACAGAACTAAAATAAGAGTTTCACAAAACAGTATCTATCCTCAACTGCAATCAACTGCTATTTTCTGTTCTAATCTGATATGTTCTAGTTCTCTATCACTTAAAAAAAAATACTGGTCATGTCATACTCAATTGATTTTGAAAATGCTTAATTAGACTGTAGTCATAACAGTCCAGGGCAGAAAAATAAGCTAACAGATCACCGTCAGATTGAAACAGCAAGGAAGCCAAAACCCCCAGTGTTTTCTGCAGACAGCCATCCTTAAGCACTTCCACAGACATCCATCCTTCAGGCAGCTGGTGGATGGGCAGTGCTGGCATAAGTAAGCCCTCTCTGGTTATTTCTCCCCAAGAGGCTGCTTCTTTTTGCACGACCAGAACCTTGTCTCTGTCTCGTATACCCTACAGTCTCCAAAGAGCCCAGGGGTGTGGGGTTCATTTGCTCAGGAGACCCTGAACGCTTCTCTGGAGTACACACGATTTAGTATTTCACTAAGGTTGTGAGCAAAGGCCCAAGGCTAGGGAAGGGGCCCACCTGCCGAAGGCCTTCCCGATGGCCGATGGCCGGGCCTCATAGTAATACTGCTTGTACTCATCCATCCACACCTCTGCGGTACGCTTGGTATTCCTAAAAGGAGAGGAAAAAGCAAAATAAGGTCACCAGGTTGGGGACAGAGTTAGGGCTGGGATCTAGATCAGCTCTGTGCAGTACAGGGCGAGGAGGCATTCAGGAGTGCATGCAAAACGGCACTGATGTGGGAGTATCCATGAGAACGGTCTGTTTGGAGGACAAGCTGTCAGCATCCATCAAATCTGGGGGAATGGATACTCTCTGACACTCCACTTACAGGAGCTATATTCTACTGAAATACCAGCACATGGGCAAAGGGACATATACAAGAATATTTGTGTCATAAAACATTGGTGACAACCCTAAATGGCCATCAATAGAAGAATAATGAACTATGTCCACATGGCAGAGTACTAGACAGCCTCGAAAAAGACCTGAAATGATAAGCTAGAAATCTATCTATTTTGGAGAGAACAAGAGGATAGGTGTAAGACTGGGTGAAAAGAACTTTCACTTTTTTCTCTCTATGTGATATGAAGAGTAAAAGTCATAATGTACAGTATAGGTACATATATATACACACATAGAATATACATAGATACAGCTTGAATTTTTAGTGACCATGTATTACTTTCATAATTATAAAAACAGTGAAATGGAATAGGGGAAGCCAAACAAAAGGTCATTTGATGAGCTAGACTTGAGGAGCCCCCGCCGTCAGCAAACAAGTCTGACCAGACGGAGGTTCGGCCTCGGAAGGGGAGAGTGCTCATGGCACTCCTCCGACCTCCCCTTGCCTCCACCATCAGGAGAGTGGGTTAGGGGGGTGGTCTTTCAGGACCTGCCCACTCCGCTTCAAGATGAAGTGCATGCTGTGGCTGGGAACATGGGTGGGCAGATGCTGACCAAGTCAGAGTCAGGACACAGCATCCATGACCAGTACTTGGGACCCAGTGTGTGGAGGGCAGCTCCAGTTGGTCGTTTCACCAGTTTTCCAAGATCTTCATGAACAAAGACAGTCAAGACAAGACAGGCCTGGAGAAGACACCCCCAACATCATCTTTCCAGCTCTGAAAGTACCAGGATCCCAGAACGGAAGGGACAAACGGGGAGACTAAGACTGGGGTAGTTGCTCAAAGTCACAGGAGTCACTGACAGGGCTGGGGTCTAGGTGTCCTGGCTCCTAATGTGATGCTCTCTGCACTGTGACCTACCTGATGTAGGTGAGGGCATTGCCCTCGGGGAAGTTGTACGGGTGCCGTTTCCTGAAGACATGGCCCACCCGGCTGCAGGGCACGATCTCCAAGCTCCCGCCGCACATCCACACACGGAAGGACAGCTCTGCAGAGACGGCAGCCGTCAGGAGGGGCAGGGGCCCCTTGGCAAGTCCCCACAGAGTGAAGGTGGGAAGTCCCTTGACTTTGGGGTCCCCTTGGAGGCACATGCTTGGGTTGGAGCTCCTGGGGTGCACCCACTCCTGGCATGTGTTCCTGAATGCCCCCTCCATATATGTGCACACACACATCGCACAAACCCCTCCACATACACACATATCACACACAAACCCACACACACACATACCACACATACATTCCATACACATACCACACACACACCCTCCACACACACATACCCTCCACACACATACCACACACACTACACACACACACACACCACACACATATACCCTCCATATACACATATCCTCCACACACATACCACACATACTACACACACACACATACCACACATACTACACACACACACACACCACACACATATACCCTCCATATACACATATCCTCCACACACANCTATTTGCTGACCTCAAAACATATTACAAAGCTATAGAATTAAAACGCTATGGTACTGGCATCAAGACGTACATATAGCCCTGTGAAATAGAATAAAGGGCCCAAAAAAAATCCTCACATCTATGGCCAAATGATTTCCAACAGATATGCCAAGACCCTCCAATGGGAATAGAGCAGTCTTTTCAACAAATGTTGTTGGAAAGACTGAATATCCATATACAAAATAATGAAGTTGGACCCTATCTGACACCATAAAAATTAAATCAAAATGGATCAAAGGCCTAAATTTAACAGCTAAAACTGTAATACTCTTAGAAGAAAAATAGGGAAGAGCTTCATGATACTAGATTTGGCAGTTTCTTGGATGTGACACCAAAAACATAGGCAACAAAACAAAAAAATAGGTAAAGTTCTCTAAATCAGTCGCTAATAAAATATTTAAAAAATAATTGTCTGGTGACTCCAATGTTGAATACTGTGGTCTTTACTTTGAATTTCATTAGAATTGTCTGCATTCATAATTGAACAGTAAGTAAAGTTTAACTTCGAAACTAAAATCATGCTTATGCTTAAATAGTGTAGACATTTAATTATTCGGGGAAAAGTTCAGAATATATTGTTAAGAAAGCAAATTGTTGAGTTCTGTTTGAGATTACAGATTGACTTATTTATATCTTTTCCTTCCATTAAGATTAGAATTAAAGAGTAAAAACTACACACATAACAGAAAGAGTTGGGGAGACATCAGAGGACAGAGACTTTCAACAAATATTCTGAGAAACTTGGTTTGAACCTGTCATAAATTGAAGTGGAGCCCAGGAAGCTTTAGCACAGAATATACTGGACAAGAGACTGCAGTGGAAATAGGAATCAGTCCTCCCTGAAAGATCGTGATGATTCTCTGAAGGCACTAAATGAAAGAGGATAAATATGACATTTTTGGAAGTCTTTTGTGAAGCTTCTTTGCTTCCGTATCCTTCCTGTTTCATCATGCAGAAAGACAATCTGTCCAGGCTTTCCTCTCAGGACAGAGAGGGAGAGGACCCTCTCGAAAGAAATTGAAAAGAAAATTAGAGAAAGCGGGGAAAACCTTTGTCTGTTTCTTTCCAGAATGAGAATTCCAACTTATCCCTGTTCTCAGTGTCTCATGCTTGCTTTGCAGTTTCAGATGTGGTGTGTGTAGAAGCGTATTCTTAGTTTTGCATTGTGCAATTTAAATTTAACTCTACATTCTCACTTAAAAACTTTATTGATGGATTTCTTAGTATTTGCATAGTGACTTTTGAAACATTGTTTATACAGTTACTTCCTTGAACCCTGGGCTTCCCTTGTGGCTCAGCTGGTAAAGAATCTGCCTGCAGTGCAGGAGACCTGGGTTCGATCCCTGTGTTGGGAAGATCCCCTGGATAAGGGAAGGGCTACCCACTCCAGTATTCTGGCCTGGAGAATTCCATGAACTGTATAGTCCATGGGGTTGCAAAGAGTCAGACACGACTAAGCGACTTTCACTTTTATTCCACATACACCATATTGTCATATTATTGTTCACTTATTGTCATTACTAGCAACAATGGCAACAACAAAAGCAGTTAACCTTCATGCATTTACTGAGCATTTTGTACTCTTTATGGCTGATGTCTAATACTCACAGCTACCATATGACATTGATGTTATAATCCTTGTGTTTTTAATAAGAACTATGAAGCTCAAAGATGTTAAATAACCTCTCTGAGGTCACCCCACACTCAGTTGCAGAACCGTAATGTAAAGTCCATACTTTGTTCAGCAAGTCTCATTATTTGAACCAGATTCTTTAGTATATTCTGCAGATTTTTACCAAAGACCTATTTACGACCCATCAGATACTGTTCTAGAGTCCCTCACACTCTAGTGAGAGAAGACAGGAACTCAGTAAAATAAGAAACAAAAATGCAAGTAGACAAGAAAATGAGTAGAATACATGGTCTAGTTGTGTCCGACTCTTTGCAACCCCATGGACTGTAACCCTCCAGGCTCTTCTGTCCATGGGATTTCCCAGGCAAGAATACTGGAATGGGTTGCCATTTCCTCCTCCAGGTGATCTTCCCGACCCAGGGATCGAACACTGGCTCCTGTGTGTCTCTTGCACTGGCAGATTCTTTACCACTGATCCCGTAATATCTGTCTGATGGTAGTAAGTGCAATGAAGAGGATGGAGCAGGCAGGAAAACTGAGGATGATGAGTGGAGTTGGGGGTGGGGTCACAATTTTAGTGAGGCTGATTTGGGATGCTCTCAATGAACGGAGACATCTGAGCTGAGGCCTGAGGAGGGGAGGAAGAGTCACATGGCTCCTGGGGACGAGCACTGCAGGCAGAGGGACCAGCAAGGACACAGGTCTAGAGGTAACAGTGCAGTTGGCGGGACTGAGGGAGAGGTTGGGGCAGTAGAAGCTGAGGGCAGAGTTGGTGGTGTGTCTTGTAGGGGAAGGGCAGATGGTCTGAGGACTTTGGGTTTCGCTCTGAGAGACATGGGAGCCCTTGTGGGGTCTTGAGCAGCAGAGTAACATGATCTGATGCAACCTGAAAAGGATGCCTAATGAGAATCCCAAGCATTTTCACATTTGCCACCCCCGCTCAGGGCGGCCTCTGAGCGCCTGCCTGCATTTGGCTCTCTCAGGGGAAACAGGAAGGAGTCTCTGTTTAGGCACCTCCCTTCCTTCCACAAAGGAACAGAACAAAAGGCCCAAACCCACCAGCGGTGGAGTCTCCTGGTTCAAAACTGGTCCCAGCAGTTGAATGTCTGAGCTACAGGGCTAGCTTGGGAATTTCTTTGAATTTCTTCGAAGAAACAAAACCTTCCCTAGAACCACTGCGTGGTTCACCTTTCAAGTTTCCCCAACCACTGAGCCCTGGCTTCAGGCAGAGTTTAAAGTTAGCTATTTGATCATTTACTTGTTTCTCTGTCAGGCCCCAGCCTTTAAAAAAAAAAAAAAAGAGAAGGAAGGAAAAAAGAAAAAGGCCTCTGGACGCAGCAGAGATCCTTAGTTTCTCAGCTCTCTGAGACTTTACAGGAAACTGGCTTTGCCAAAGTTCCCTTCTGGCTGAGACTGAGGACACAAAAGAGGTCACTCTGGCCCAAAATACATGAAAGGAGGTCAGAATGGAAGGGTCACTGCACCCCAGTTCCCAGCACTGACTCCTCCGAATGCCTGCCTAGAAACCGTTTCCAAGAGTAAGTTACAAAGGGGAGAAAATCCCATGCCTGTTCCCACTCCAGCTGGTTCTGAGTCAAAGCCCCAGTGCCCGTCTGCCCCACTGTCCCAGTCCGAGAGGGAAGAAAGACCTAGTCCCCTCAGCCCAGAAGCACAGACCGTAACTTGGATCACACACCTCACCACACTGAAGTGATCCCTCCAGTAAAGGTGCTTATCCTACACCTGTCAGATGTGGAGTTTCCTGACTGAGATCTGGAAGGTGGCATCCACCTCAGTTTGCCCACCTGTTAGATGGGTGAGATACCAGGTCTATTTACTTCTCAAGAAACCGGGTCAGGATGAAAAGGAAAGCAGTGGGAAAGGCTCTGCAAAGGACTGAGTGGGTCCAGGAACAGCAAGGACAGGCCTTTGTCTTTTATGGGCTTCTTGGTATCCCTCCCTCCGGCTCCTGGAGAACCTCTGGGATTGTTCTCTGCCCTATTCCACCCTGCTCTTCATCTGGGAGCTACTGTGTGGGCCACACCCCTTGACTTCCTTCCCAAGTTAGGACAGGTTCAGCCTGCAGTCAGGGGGAGAGTGAGGGTGGATGTTCATCCCCTGACACCTTCCACCTGGTGCATGGGCTGACTGCAGGCACCCCAAGACCACAGCTCGTACTGGGGAGTGCTCTGTCCCCATCTTTTGGACCTAGGGGTGACTGCACCTCCCAGCACTCACACGCCTAGCCCTTCCCTGTCCCTTGTGGTTCCCTATAACTTGTCCACACCATGTAAATAGGCCCTTTCATAAACCCCTACATCAAGTGTTCCATCTGTATCCAGCCTTTGTCTCATGAACCTCACCAGCAACCCTTGAGGGTCACTGGCTCTTCTCTTTCCTTCTGGAGCTAAAGGGTTCCTACGGTGTCGTGTGTATGTGTGTGTGTGTGTGTGTGTGTGTGTGTGTGCGCACGCACACGTGCGCACGCTCAGTCATGTCTGACTCTTTGCGATTCCATTAACTGTAACCCACCAGGCTCTTCTGTCCACGGGATTCTCCAGGCAAGAAAACTGGAGTGGGTTGCCATTTCCTGCTCCAGGGGATCTTCCCAACCCAGGGATTGAATCCTAGTTTCTTAGCGTCTCCTGCATTGCAGGTGGATTCTTCACCATTGAGCCACCTGGCTTCATAAGTAATAATAATGGCCACCAGTACCTTCATCCATCCTCTTCCTTAGTGCTCATGACAGCCTCTTGGGGAAACTGAGGCTCGGAGAGGCTTTCACTTACCCAGAGCCAAACAGCTTATAGGGGTAGGGCTAGGGTTTGCACCCAGTAATACGGTCTGACCCTATTACTTATGTTGAACCATCACCCTCTACTGCACACCACCTCTCCTTCAGCCTTTCTGGTAGGTAAGCAGCCATGTAGTTCCTCCACACATGTCTGGCCACGTGGCCACAGGTTCTCCCTGACCACCTCATCTCTTTGTTTACTAGATATGTGACTCTGGACAAATTACTTAACCTCTCTGTGCCTCAGTTTACCAGTAGAATGGTACTTCAGAGATTCGTTGTGAGAATTTAAGTAGTCAATATATATAAAGTCCTTAGGGCCTTACACATAGACAACACTCAATCTGGGTTTGCCTACTATTGTTATTGTGGTTATTCCCCAACTTACCAAAATTTTCTCCCCCCCAGATGTCCATCTGAGCATCATACTTTCCCAAGTGGTTAAACCAGGACTTGTCAATCACGAAGATTCCTCCAGCGATGACAGGCGTCCTGGGAGCAAGGAGAGGAAAGAGGTAATACATTAGCTAGAGAATCTGAGCCCCTCTAGATGGCCCCAGGGCTCAGGCCATTTTACCCTACGATCACCCACTTGCAGAGTTACTGGGGCTGGATGTCTGGCCTGTCCGTTGGTCTATGATGTCTCTCTCCCCAGGGCTCAGAACAGAGTCAGCCCTTAGATCGTGTAGCTCTAAGAGCCCTGGTGACTGAACCGGCCCCCAGTGGTCTCCAAAGCCTCTGACTCAGGGGAGGGAGGCATCTCCCCAGAACCCACAGCAGCTCTGACCTTATGGGCTTGGTGGGGTCTGTCCGCGCAATCTTCTGCTCCAGGGGTATCTGCTCCCACTTGAAATGCAGGCTCCAGTCAAATCCTAAGGGTCAAGGTGGGGTGAGGATGGGCCTTAGGGCTCCTGTCCCCTCATTCTGCCCCCTGAGAGTCTTTCTTGATCAGAACCCAGCTTGCAGACGGCCCTGGCCAATTGGTGTAGTCATTCCTTCATTCAGAATGAGACAGATCCCTGTCCTCATGGAGTTTCAATCACTGGGTAAGACAAAGACTTACAAAGATAAATCAATAAGTGGATAATATGTCAGTTGGGGGTGAAAGTGCTAAAAAAACAAAAGAAAGAAAGAAAAGACAGGAAACATGCCCATGCTATTCTAATAAGGGTAGCCAGGAAAGACACTCTAATGAGGTGACATTTGAGTAGAAACCTGAATGAAGGACTGATCCATGCAGACTGATGGGAAAAGGGAATTCTAGGTGGGAGAACAGCAACTGCCAAGGAACTGGGGTGATTTCCCAAGGGAGAAATGTCTGGCTCCCTCCCATTCATCCTCAACATCTAACTAATGACTGTGTCCATTTATTGGAAATCTGAGCCCCAGAGAGGAAACCCACTCAGCTCATTAGCTCCTGGCCACAGATTCTCTGGAGCTGCTTGCCCAGTAGAACTTGCTGCATTGATGGAAGTATCCTACATCTGCCCTGTCCAACACAGTGGACACAAGTCACATGTGGTTATTGAGCACTTGAAGTGCTGCTGGGGCAACTTAGGAACTGAGTTTAGAATTTTACTTAATTTTAATTAACTTAAATGTACATAGCCCAAAGTGGCTACAGTCTACTGTATTGTACAGCATGGCTCTAAGGCCTAGATCAGAGCTGTCCAAAAGAAATACTTTGCAAGCTGGAGATGCAAGCCACATGTGCAATTTAAATTTTTCTAGTAGCCATATCTAAAAGTAAGGACATATGAAATTAATTTGAATAATGTATTTTTAATGCAAGATCATCCAAAATACTATCATTTCAAACTGATGATCATATTCACAATGAATACAAAAAATTACTAATGAGATTTTTTACATTCTTTCAAACTAAGTCTTCAAAACCTGGTGTGTATTTTACCTTACCGCACATCTCAATTCACACTGAAAATGGAGTCACACTTCAAGAGCTCAATAGCTAAATGTGGTTAATAGCTACTGTATTCAGCCAGGTCTACACCATTTTGGGGTGTACAAGTCAGTAATCCATGCAAAGTTGAGGGTTCCCCCTTCCCCACTCCCAAGATAGTTGTCATATCATGTTCTTCTGCCAAGACTCGTGCCCATCCTCCCTGGGCTAGCTATATTTGAGAAGGATGTGTCAAAGTTTGGGGGCAGGGAAAGATTGCAGACTAGCTTGACTCTGCCCTCATCATGCCAGGAGCCTCCAACTGCCAGCTCTGGTCCTTCATCCCCAACTCCACAGCTCTATACAATCTCCTTTCGTTTTCTGGAGGTAAAGGGCAGGGAAAAGGTGTCTTGTTTCCTGGAGTTGCTCTGGACCTACCTCCGCGAAGGTCAGCAGATGCAGCAAGGTAAGCGAAATTATCTAGACTGATGACATCAATGATGGGGCTCACCACGCGGGTGTGGTCCTAGGGGAGGACACATGAGGTGGTGTGAGGTCAGGGACTCTGTGAAAAAAGCCCGAACTGCCTGTTTGGTGAAGTTCTCTGGAGGCATGAGGTACTCAGCACCTCCTGCAGGACATGTCAGCTCCCAGGAGCTGTCCTGCATCATCACACCAGGCTCACAGAAGGTCCCACTTGGGTCTCACGGGCACAAATGCTCTCCCAGCCTCTTTCTCTTACACCATGTTGAGCTCTGCTGGGATCTCACCTCCTCAGTGAAGCCCTCCCTGATTGCTGCAGGCGGAGGATTTCTTCCTCTTTTTAAGCTACTCTCACAATTATAGTCCAGGCAATTCCTGGGACAACGAATCAGATGTTGCCTGAGGTGGCTTTTCTGTTGCTGGTTTGAACTGTTGTTTTACTAATTGTCGGCCACCTTTGTACATGTTGGGGTTGAGTCTTCCCAACTGGACCACTAGCAGCTTGAGGGTAGTGACCCTGTTGCAGTCCCTGGGGCACCTGGGTGGCACTCCTCTCATGCCACCTCCACTTCAAGGTCAGACTCATACTCCCTTCATCACCTCCTAGACACAAATCCACCTCCAAAATATTGGTGGGTAATGCCAGTTTTACTAAAGGGCTTTTTCCTGAGGTGGGGGATGTGGAGAGTAGTGGTGGTGGTGGAGGATTTTATCATATACCACGTGCAAAACTTAATCGCCCTTCATCAGCAGGATGTCTGCTCTCTTCTTTTCTTCCTCCATGGAGGGACAAGGAACAGAGCCTCTTCTTTCTTTGTCTGCACTGACCCTCAAAACACTCTTGTCTGCAGCTTTGAATCTAGCACTGCCCCTCAGTTCACACCCCGTCTTAGGATGACAAAAATGTGGGACGCGGCAGATCAGAGGAGACCATCCATGGTCTCACAGTGTTCCGTGGGGGCCTCACTTTATACTTTTTATAGATTTGTTTTTGTATTGAGATATAATTCACATTATATAATAATTTTATTAGATATAATTGATATACTATCAAATTCACCATTTTAAAGTGTACAGTTCTGTGGTTTGCAGTGTATTCACAGGGTCGTGTCACCATCACCACTATCTAAATCCAGAATACTTTAATTACCCCAGTAAGAAAACCTGTACCCGCTAGCAGTCACCCCCCCATCCCCCACTCCCTCTAGCTCCTGACAACTACTAATCCACTTGGTATTTCCTCAGATTTATTTACTCTGGACATCTCATATAAATGCAATCATATAATTTACAGCCTTTTGTGACTGGCTTCTTTCACTGAGCATAGTTGTCAAAGTTCACCCATACTATAACATGTATCAGTACTTTATTCCTTTTTTATGGCTGAACAGTATTCCATTGTATGGCTATATCACATTCTGTTTACCTACTCATGAGTCGATAGACATTAGTTTGTTTCATGTTTTGCCAATTTGGAATAACACTGCTCTGAACACTTGTATACAAGTTTGTGTATGGGGTATGTTTTCATTTCTGAGTATATATCTAAGAGAGGAATTGCTGGGTCATATGGAAACTCTATGTTTAAACTTCTGAGGAGCTGTCAATCTGTTTTCCAAAGTGGCTGCCATTTGACATACCCACCAGCAATGCACAAAGGCTCCTATCTATCCAAATCCTCACCAGCAGTTGTACTGTCCATCTTTTGATGAGCCTTCCTAGGAGGTATCAAGTAGTATCTCATGGTGGTTTTGACTTGCATTTCCCTAATGACTTAATTTTGAGCATCTTTTCATGTGCTTGTTGACCATTTGTCTACGTTCCTTGAAGAAACATCCATTCAAATCCTTTGCCCATTTTTAAATTGGGTTCTCTGTCTTTTATGGTTGACTTGTAATCACTTCATCCTCGGTTCCATGTGTCCAAATCCTCCCCATTCTAAAGAGCAGCAGGCACATGGGAAGGCCCTCTGCTTGAGAACAATGTTCTCTCCTCCTTCCTTTGCAGGCTTACCAGTCTGACCCACCACCCTCCACTCCTCATCACTCCCCCGGGGAGAAAACAACAACACCCATTCGCAGAAGGAGCTCCATGGCTCACCCACAGATGAAGTTGCTCAGGAGAGAGCAGATCACTTAGTTTCTAACTCTGCCTGTCCAGCTCTCAGAGACAGCTCATACCCTCCCCACCCGCAATGCCAAGAACATGGTGGGCATGTCCCGAGGGACAGAGCTCCCCCAGGGACAGAGACTTACCTCCTTCACTCGCTGCAGCATGGGCTGCAGCCACTCCGTGTTCACTTCGCAGTGGCTGTCCAGAAAGGTGAGGACGGCAGCTGCCGCCACGTCTGCCCCACGAACTCGGGAGCGGATCAGCCCTGAAGTGGGAGGGACAGGGTGGTGCTGGGACTCAGCCAGTTTGCTCAGCCATCCCCATCCCCTCAAAGGCTCAGGACTCTCTGCCCGTTAGGGCTCAGGTTTCCTCTGAGTTACTGTGATTTAACTTCTCTTGGTATTTGCTGATTTCTTCCCTCTCTCTTCCTTTCTCTTATCTGCCCATCCATCAACCATCAATACTCCAAGGCTGTTCTCTGAATGCCCCCCGGTGTGGAGGCCAGACACTGGGCTCTGGGGACACGCTGATGAACAGTCAAGAGTTTAGTGAACAGAATTGGCAATGAAGTGTGGTTTGGTACCTAAGGAGACCTAGAAACCAAAATCCTTTCCCCTTTCACGTGGAGGAACCTCAGGGTGCTCCCCTCTGGCTGCACTATGCTCTATGGCTTGCAGAGAGTCTTCCAGACAAAGATAGGCTGGAGCCAGTGCTCTCTGCTTTATCAAATCTAAACGCCTTTCTCTGGCTTCAAGGCCCTCCATTATCTGTTCCCACCCCACTTATTCCCTGGCTGACCAGGTCTGATTCTCCCAAGAAGGGAGACTAAGAAAAGCAAGGTTAAGAGGCTGGGCTCTGAGTGTGGGTCCCCTGGCTGGGGGTGGAATCCTGGCTCCTCGGTTCATCACTCCAGGCAAATTACTGAACCTTCTTAAACCCTAGTTTCTTTATCTGCAAAACAGGATGAAGGGCTGTTTTGAGAACTGAGTGTGACAATGTGAGCAGAGATGAGAATGTAGGAAAGGCAGGAAGAGGCTGTTAGTACTACATGTACCCAGGCCTGACTGATGCCTCTGCTCAGAGTCTCTGGGCCTAGAATGCTCTCTCTTGCACCCCATTCATCTGTCTCTCAACCCCCTCACCCAATCCAGGCTCCCTCCCAGATCACTCCCTTCTTCAGCTCCTTACTCCCACATAATTACACCAGCCTTGGGTCCATAATAAGCTCTCCGAGGGCAGGGACCACATGCATACTTCTTTTGTGTTCCCTGGTGTGTCATGCACAATCCTATGCCATAGTTGATGCTCCAAGTATATCTGTTTTAGATTCCCCTGTGCTTTTCTCAAAGCATTTAATCCTTACAATAACTGTGCAGGGCAGAAAGAGTATACTATTAGTCCCATTTCTCAGAAGAGACAATTAAGGCAGCCAGAAGTAGAGCTACTTGCCTACAGTCATGCTGTGATAAGAGCTGCTCCGAGACAGCAGAAGGGTCTTTCCCCAGGCCTTGGTCTTGCCACTAGGAATGCAGCAAGACTACATTTGGTTGGTATAACATGGCATCAAAGGGGAGCAGAAGTCTAGACCAAAATGGGTCTACAGTAGCACCCAGGATCCAAGGACGTACCTTCCCGCCGGTCATTGCGTAGGCACTTGACCTTGGGGATCCTGGTTAGCAGCAGACAGTCTTCGGCTGAGGGTGGAGAGAAGGAAGCAAGACTGTTCAGATATGGACATCAGACTACATGTAGTTTGACCAGGCCCAGGGAAAGGGCTGGGGAAGGTGAGGTGTGGTCATCTCCACTGGGGTACAGGTCATCTCCCCATCCCCTACTCCCAGGACAGACTGAGGAATGTCTGTACTTGTGGCATAACCCCCAGGGGGTGCCACAGAGTACCAACAACCTCTCCAGTCCAACACCCTCTGAGCTAGATTGTGTGTTAAGTTGCTTCACTCGTGTCAGACTCTTTGCAACTCTTTGGGACCTCAACTGAAGTCTTCCAGGCTCCTCTGTCCATGGGATTCTCCAGGCAAGAATACTGGAATGATTTGCCATGCTCTCCTCCAGGGGATCTTCCCAACCCAGGGATCAAATCCACTTCTCTTGCGTCTCCTGCATTGGCAGGTGGGTTCTTTACCACCAGCACTACCTGGGAAGCCCATTTTGTGAGGACAATATTCAGCACACAGCAGTTGTGATAATGAAGGATGCTGTGGATGTTTAATCTTTTAAAATGTCATCTCACTGGTGTCCCATCAAAGCAACATCACTCCTTTGGCACCAAGGAGCAGAGCCAGGAAGGGCACTTAGTAAAGACTGAAGATCCTGGTGAGGAGCAGAGGTCAGCCTGCGGTGGCCAGGACTATTTCAAGAGTGCCTCCCTCAGCATTCTGGAGCAATGGGGTGTGAGGCGGTGCAAAAAAAGAAGATGGACACTTACGATCTGAACTGAAGTCATCCACTAGAATGATCTCCTGGATCAGGCTGGCAGGAGTTCGGTTCAGGACGCTGGAATAGGGACCAAGACAGATGAGCCCAGGTTTAGGGGCCCCCTTCTAAGACTCCCTTACCCCCACCTCGGGGGCCACCACACTGGCCATGGGCAGCTGCTAGCAAACCCTTCATGCCCTGGTCAGTGACTGAGGGGCAGGATGTTCCTCAGGCTCCTCCAAGCACCCACTGACCTGCTGCCTGGACCCTCGGGCACTTGAGATTCACCCCACATGGTGGGTGAGGACTGTCCTAGTTTAGTTGAAGCAGGACCCATAGCTGCTCTGGCTGCCTGGGCTTAACAATGGCAACAAGGCCAGAGGGCCCAGATGTTGCCTGCTTGGAAAGCTGGAGAGGCTCCTTCTGACCTGATAGGTCAGGATGGGTGTTCTCAGAAAGCACCCCCACCCTAGCTTTTCCCTCCCAACATCCCTCCTCTTCCTTCACTCCCCATGAAGAAAGCCCAAGCTTCTTTAATCCTTAGACTACCATGGGGTACTGCATTCCACATCCTGTTCTTATCTATGTTCATTAAAGAAACATGGTGAATAAGAAGTCAAACTTGACCACAGGGCCAACCTGAGGAGGACAGAAGGGGTATCTCTCTCTGAATTGCTCTCAGGTGCCCACTGGGCCGGCACCCATCCGCCTGAGGCCTCACCTCCACCCTTGCCTCCATCGGCTCCTGGCACCTGTGTTTCTGCCCGTGTCCTGGGGACCTGACCTTGTGTTCACGCATCTCACTAACATTTGGACGTCTTGGGTCCTGACCCTGATTCACTAAGCCCAGCTTCTCAGAAGGGCAGAAACCCCCCCTCCCAGTGCCCACTGGTCTTCATGCTGTCTGGCCACAATGCCCAGTCTCAGGGTCCTCCCTTGCCAGGGCCCAGCAGATCCCCAAGGCCTGGGGCAGCAGCCCCAGTGAGATGAGGGATGAGGCGGGGCTTACCTCTTCACCGTGCGCAGGAGAGTGGAGCGGGCTTCGTTGTGGAAGGTGATGATGACGCTGGTGGCTGGCAGGTCGGAGGAGTAGGACACGGATGGACAACTGAGAAGAGAGCAGAGAGCACAGAGGGCAGCTGTGGGACATCCTGGGGCAGGCTCGCGGCGTCTCTCTGCCCATTCTGATGCCCCTGAGGCTGGGCGCAGGCCCTGCCCCCGCAAACCCATGCCCACCCCACTCAGGCTGCCCAGCCTGGAGTCCCTGGAGGGAAAGCCCACGCTGGGGCAACTTCCCAGGCTCAGGGGCTCTTCACCCACATCCTAGGATCACTCGGAGCCCCACGATCACTGAAGTGCTAAGGGGGGCTCTGACGTGTGTAGGTACACAGACAGAATCAACCTGGACTAACCGATGAACAGCCAAGACAGAAAAAATGGCAGAGGGGAGAAGAGGGAAGATGGCCTTTCTTTTGTCTCTGTAGCTTCTTCCTTCTTGTCGCCTGTCTCCTGACATCTGGTGGGATCTGGGGAGGAATTGCCCCCCATCCTGCCCTCCCGTGAATCCCTCCCTCTTGCTGCCAACGTGAACAGCCAGGCTGGTAACAGCAGATAGGGTGCCCTCAGGCTTTCCACGGGCCCTGGGGCACCTGTGGGAAAAACTGAAGTCTCTGAGGAGACACCAAAGGCGGTTCCCCCCAGCCCACTCCCTCGCCCAGCAGCTCTGTGCTCCCACCTTCTCCAGACACTACATTTTGGGCCCTGTCCTCTGGAAAGGGAATTAAAACGATCCATCCCCGCCAGCCTTCAACGCTGTCATTTCTGAGAATGCTTCTGTGAATGCATTTACTCGTGCTCCTGGGGCCGGTGGGAAGGCAGCCGCAGAGCTGGTTTTCATAGCAATCTTCTTTATTACAATTGCTCCCTGACTATTCCAGCCGCAACCATTTTTTCATTACGGCATTCATTCCACTGACAGCGGCTTATGGCCAAATTCCCAGGCCATTTCCTGTCCAGCGGAGCAGACAGGGTCAGACAGGCAGGAGTTCCTCTAGCCTGGGACCCCCACAGGAGAAATCGTGAGAGGCCTTAAAATAATTCTCCTTGAGAGGGGGTGTGTGGGAGGAGGAGGGGTGGAGAAGTTCTCCTCTGCACGGGAAGCCAGGCGTTCCAAGTGCCTCTCCTCCCAGAGGCTTGTGGATTTGGGGGCTGAAGGGGGCTTGGTCTGCTGAGATGGGGAGCCCTGGAAGAAGGGGTCAGCCCCCTGCACTGACCTCTAGGGCCCCAGTTCTGTATCTCTGAATCCTAAGTGCCCAGGAAGGAGGGAATGTGGACAGTGATAACCACTCTCCACAACCTGAAGGTGGCCAACCTGCCCACACCCCATCTGGACAGTGGATTTGACCTTCTCCCACCAGCCCCATTCAACCATCTCCACCCTGCATTTCTCTGGGATTTGTATCTGTGATGATAGGAATGTATGGCTTGTAGTGACCAGGAGCCTCTGAAAAGGTTTGTCTTGTGTCTGTGGGGCTGGTGGGGTCTTCTCTGCAATGCCGGTAGGTCTGTCTCACATAGGTTAGGTGTCTTTGGAAGACCTCCCTCAAGGGGGCTCCTTGGATTGAGGGCTGCACCAGGGCCTGGCCTGACAGTCTGGGGTCCAACAGGAGCTGCGGCCTGGAAGGGGAAGAGTATGGCTCACCCCACACCCCAGGCTCTGCCAGGGGAGGCCCTGCCCACCACCACCAACACCTTCTTTGCTGCCCCTACAGACATGCATGTGCAAACACACACACACACACACACACACACACACACACACACACGCACCCCCTGATCCATCTCAGTCTTCTGAGAAGGCGGGGCAGAAGCACTGGGGCAAGACAAGAGGCCTTCGTCACCAAGCACCACTGGCCTGGATTTGAAGAGTCTCGTTTTAAAATGTGTGTGGCCCCAAGAGGAATTCCGCCTCTAAGTTTCCTGGTGAACACCTGAGAAAGTTCAGAGTGGGGGAGGATGGGGGGAAGGGCAGAGGGGATCCAGGCCAACCCCTCAGTGCCCAGATTGGGGTCAGCGGAGCCTCCAGGCCCTGCGGTCCTGGTCTAGGGCCTCTCTCACCTAGCACGCAGGGGGAACAAAGAGCAAGAGTGGGAAGCATTTCTGGGAGCTGCTGAGGAAGGGTGGGAGGCAGTGGGGCAGGCAGAGAGGAAGGAAAGGGATGCCAGTGGGGGCGGTGCACAGCACTCTATTGTTTGCACAGGGCAGGCGGGGCTGGCGGCCCCACGGGCACCACCAGCCAGGCACCAGGGACGCCAGGCTCCCCCACCCCCTGCGGACTTCCCCCTGGTCTCCTGGCCGGCCACTCTCGCTTGGACTCCGGACTGAGGAACTGAGGGGCCTCTGTGGCCTGGCCGGGAGGCCTCCTTGGGCCTCTCAGCCCCTCAGGAGGTCAACGACACTAAGAGGAGCCAGGAGAACAACAGATAGGAAGGGTTTGTATGTCTCAGTAACTAGACTGAGTCAGAGGAAGTTTTCCTCATTTCTTAAACCCGCGTGACTGANCACAGGGCAGGCGGGGCTGGCGGCCCCACGGGCACCACCAGCCAGGCACCAGGGACGCCAGGCTCCCCCACCCCCTGCGGACTTCCCCCTGGTCTCCTGGCCGGCCACTCTCGCTTGGACTCCGGACTGAGGAACTGAGGGGCCTCTGTGGCCTGGCCGGGAGGCCTCCTTGGGCCTCTCAGCCCCTCAGGAGGTCAATGACACTAAGAGGAGCCAGGAGAACAACAGATAGGAAGGGTTTGTATGTCTCAGTAACTAGACTGAGTCAGAGGAAGTTTTCCTCATTTCTTAAACCCGCATGACTGAAAGACAGCCAGCTGGGGCCGGCCCTGCCCCTCCACCTCTCTTTCTCCACGAGCGCAACAGAGGCCACACCTGTAGTGGCGGGTGTCCCGGATGGGCCGGTCAGGGCTCAGCTTGTCGCTCTCCAGCTGGTTGAAGGCGTGCTGCCTGTAGGGGTCCTCTCCTGGCTTCAGCTGCTTGGCTGCCAGGTACGCCTTCTCATCAAAGCCTCTGGAGGGCGTTCCTGTCACCTGAGACAAAGGTCAGCATCAGAAGGGCCACAGGCAAGAGGACAAGGGAGCCACTGCGTGGGGAGTACTTATGACCAGGCGGGAGCCAAGCATCACCTCCTTTGTACCTGAGCAGGAGATTACTATTTCCCCCATTGTACAGATGAGGAAACGGAGGCTCGAGGCAGTACCCCCACATGTGGGGGCAGGGAGTATCTGGGAACTCTGTACTTTCCACTCAATTTTGTGTACCTAAAACTGTTCTTAAGAAGTAAAGCCCATTGGATTTCCCTGGAGGTCCAGTAGTTAAGAGTTTGCCTGCCAATGCAGGGGACACATGTTTGATCCCTGGTCCAGGAGGATCCCACATGCTGTGCATCAACTAAGCCCGTGCACCACAACTATTGCATCTGTGTGCGGTGGCTACTGAAGCCTGGGAGCCTAGAGCCCATGCTAACAACAAGAGAAGCCACTAAAATGAGACGCCCCAACACTGCAAGCAAGTGCAGCCCCCACCTGCCACAACTAGAGAAAGCCCGTGTACAGCAATGGAGATCCAGTACAACCACAAATAGTAAATATATCAATATTAAAAATAAAAATAAAAAAGCCCAAGGTCAGAGCTAGTAAGACCCAGGTTTCTGGAGTCAAACTGGTCATTCTGACTCAGAAGCCCACACTCTTGACCAATGCTCTTTGCTGGATGTGGAGATGGTGACACTTTGGAAGGCACCAGATCCCCCAAGATAAGGGGACCACCTGAGGGAACCACCAACGAGGCTAGAGGTCACCAAGCAACCGTCAGATGGACAGTCTCCTAGGTATGAACTTGGGCCTGACACTGGGGCTAGGCATGTAGGAGCTGCCTGATCAGTGAAACACCCAGGGCTTGGACAAGGTTCTGCCCAGAGGACCACCTGTGAGGACAGGTGGGCCTTCCCAGGCTGATGCCAGAGCTGCTAGGGTGCCAGCACACTGACAGTGAAGCATCTTCTCCGGGACTCGTGCTTGCTGCTGAAATGGCCCACGTCAGACCTCCGGGGCCCTGGGTGCTAAGTGCTGGGAAGTGACAGATGACGATTGCCGTGGTCCAGCCCCCCTCCTCTTAGCCACACCCTGCTCTGTGCTCCCAAAGTCCCCCCATGAAAGACACTGGGGAAGGACACATCCGAGATGAATGGATGGGTAGATGGATCCTGACATCTCATTATTTGAGCCACACTGCTGGCCGGATGGTCCCCAGAGTGCCTGGAAATATCATCAACTGTGAGTGCATCTCGACTCCACCAGGCAGGAGCTGTGGGCCCGCAGGGGCACCAGGAAGGTGGGTGAGAGTTGTCCAGGGATAGAACCCTTGCATGAGAATCCCGCTTCAGGCCTAGTCTCTAGAGGGATGGTCCCAGGAAAGCAGCTTGGCCCGTGGAGAGGAGACCAATGTGTTAGGTGATGCTGGGGGACATCCACCAGCAGCCCAGGGCCTCCACGTTCCCCTGAGAACCTAGAGCTCCAGGGAGTGCCTGCTCTTTTAGGGCTGCCTCTCTGTAGTGTTCCCACCTCCTAGGAGCCAGTCCTGAGCTCCCTGAGGTCACAGCCAGTGAGAGAGATTTCCTCAGGTCCACTACGTGCAGCCTCGTGCCACACACATGCTTCAGATGGTGACGACGGCTGTAGTAGCTGTGCTGTGGTGTCCTGATTTGGTGCCATGCCAGAGGCTGGGAAGATGGGGTGGAGTCCTCATGGACTCAAAATCCATTCCAGGAAAGAGAGAAGGAGGGAAGGAAGGAGGGAGAGGGAAATAGAGAGAGGAGGAGAAGGTTCTGGCTTGAACCCTGAATTGCTAGAAGGACCCAAGCTGTCAACTGTGAAAGTCAGAATGAGGGTTCTTTTGTGTCCTTTCCACCCCAGGGAAAGAATGGGTGCTAACTCTGCCCCAGAATTCCTCTCAGCCTGGGGGTCAGGGAAATGGAAATCAGCCTCCAGTTGATGGTGGAGGAGCTAAAATAAGAAAAAAAAAATTGCAGAAGCTCCCATGGGGAAGAGTATGTTACTGAATTATCCTGCAAGTCAACTGAGAGAAATAACCATGCCACGCTTACTTATTTAGGACTTACGGCTACTCTGTGGGCTCAGGAAACCTCCAAGCCCTCATGCCACACTCACCCATCACCCAAAAAATATTGATCAAGAGCCACCCATCTACCGGGCACTGGGACACACTTCTGGAAGTTCCAAAGATCACCTGATCATTCATTCATTTTATGGATGCTTGAATCCACGCACTCCTTCATCCACCCACCCATTTATCCAGAAAAGCCCCACTGAGCACCTGCTATGTGCCAAAAAGAAGAAGGATCGCTTCTGACACCATCCTCTGCTGGCTTCCTGGCCTCATTCAGAGCTTCCTTGGAGCCTCAGAGAACATTGTGGAAGAGCATCTCTAGGGAAGTTCCTCTCAGGGCCTCAAAACTGAGCTAGACATCCTCAAAGATGCATCTACTGCTCCCTTCCTCAGATCATTGCCTCTGATGGTCCAACCCTCCTCTGAGGCTAGACCCTTCACCCATGACACACCTTTGTGAAGAAGGATGCCAAGGAAACACAGGCCTGCTCCCTCCAGAGGTCTCAGCTCTGCTTTCCCACTGACCCAGCATCCACGGGATCTGGAGCTGAAACATCAGTGGCCCTGTGTCAGCCAAGTGGGGCAGAGACTGAGGAAGGGTAAGATGGGAACTCTCTATCCAGCCCCTCCCTGGCCTCAGCCCAGTCACCACCCGGACCTCCTCTACTGGGTATCTAACCAGACCACACACACACCCCATGGCTCATTTCCCTCCAGCTCCTGAACTCTCCTCTCCCTCTGGCCCTGGGCTTTGATCCTGAGACTTCCAGGCCATGACCACCTCTAACTCCATGCCTCAAGATGAATTCATCAGTTCCCCAGAGCAGCTGCTTCTCCTGTGCTGCCTGAGGTGGACATGGGCAGTCCCACCCTCTGGGTCCTCCAGGTGATAAGTCCAGGGGTCACCCCTGGTGCCCTCCCGCCCCCAGGCGCCACAGTCTGATGCAGACCCCAGCCCTGGGTCCCACAGGCAGTGGCTGATGCACATCCCACTAGTGTTAAAGCAACAGGTTATTCCCTGAGAGTCTAGTTTGTGTTAACACTGTGCAAGAAGCCGGGGGGATGGAAATAAAAAGGACAGCTCCCAGAAGAGAAATCTAGGGATCTAGACCACCCACCTCTCCTCTCCCATCCCACACAGGGCATGGCCATGCAGGATCGTGAAGAAGCCTCCACCCTCAAACTTAGATCACGGGTGGCTGGAGAACTGGCCCTGGGACCTCACTCACCCTACCTCGGCTGGGGCAGGAGTCCCGCAATGGCGCGGGCACCAGGCCTTGGTGAGAAGTGCGCTGTGGTCTCCTGTTCTCTCGGCCACACTGCCCACAAAGCACGCTGGCGAGGAGTAAAGCATCCTTCGGCTCTAGGCTGTGGGACCATAAGGAGCTATATCTCAATGAGCCTCAGGGACCTGAGATGCTGGACTTGGATCCAGCTGGAGCCACTGGATGGGACTGGCACTGCTGCCCTTTCTGGATGAGGGCACGGGGGCTGTCTGTGGAATTCTTATACCGCATGGCACTGACATCTTGCTTTATGTCTTTCTTTTGCACTAGATCATGAGCTCCCAGCACCTGGCACATAGTAGGTATTAAGCAGATGTTTACTGAATAAAAGGATGAATGACTGAGTGAGTAAATGAATGAATGAGTGAATGGATACCTAGACAGTGTCCCTACTCTCATCTTACTTAAAATCAACTGGGGAGAAAGCCACAGTGAACCGATGGGATCCCCTGACATAGCACATGACCTCCAGTGACCTTCACCCTCCCTGAGTACGAGCCTCAGAGCTCACAGTGGCCCAGGAGACTCTGGGAGCCAATGCCCTGTCCCCTTGTTGGCCTCAGCTTCTGAGCCCTCTCTGGCTCTGCTCCAGTCACACTGGCCTCCTGACGGTCCCTGAGTCTGTCAGTACCTTTCCCCTCTGCCTCTTTGTTCGTTCTGCCTTCTTTCCAGAAGGCTCTTCTCCCAGATGTCTGCATAGCTTGCACCTTCACCCCCTGCAGAGCGCTGCTCAAACCTCTACTTGGTGAGCCTTCCCCAAACACCACCAGTAAAACCCCAGCCCCACACTTGCCTTCCATCCTTCCACCTGCTGTTTCTCCTTATAGTACTTAGCACCATCGGATGTTCTACGTGCATTTTGCTTATCAATGTTATATCGTTGACTGCTTCTTCCCATAAAAATAAAACCTTCACCAGGGCAGGGATTGTCTGTTTCATCTAATGCTGGATCCTGAAGCCCAGAACACTACCCAATAAAGACAATGGCTAATGAGTATGTGAGTGATGGAGTGATGAACTGTCATGACCGCAAGCATCTCTTGCCCCCACACCACACTCCTCACACTCAGTTAATACAACACTTGGAACTGAAATGGACCAAGACAGTGGCAGGCTAGTTTTTGCCCATTTTAGGGATCTCCTCACTCACATGCTTCTGACAGGGCTGCTAATCACTTCCCTCCCACCCAACCAATACCTCAGTCATCACCATGGGGTGGGCACAAGACCCAAGCTAAGCTGACCTTGTCACTGCACTCCCAGACACAGGGTACCTGTTCAGAACAGTCATTTGACTAAATATGGGCCAATCAGAATTAAGGCTGAGTGCCAAAGAATTAATGCTTTCGAACTGTGGTGCTAGAGAAGACTCTTAAGAGTTCCTTGGACTGCAAGAAGATCAAACCAAAAAAAAAAAAAAGATCAAACCAGTCAATTCTAAAGGAAATCAATCCTGAATACTCATTGGAAGGACTGATGTTGAAGCTTAAACTACAATACTTTGGNCCTTCAAAGATGTCAGTCCTTCGGTCTTTTCAGTGAAAAAGAAAACCACTCTCCAAAAGTAAGAAACAAAAGTCAAAAACAAAACCCAACAAATGAGCCACCAGTGGCAA